GTGCTATGGGGCAAATGGGAGAGATTCCAAACTTCACTGAATACGGGGCCTCCGTCTCCCTTGCCATGGATTTTAAGGATTTTATTTCAGAAGAAGCAAACCACAAAGACCTCCAGCGACTGACCCTCTTCCTCGACCCGGTGCTCACATCTTAAAGTGTCGGGGCACCCTCTGAGGGAAGCATGCCATCCATGGTCCTCACCCCCAGATTCACAGACTGGGGAAGTTACTTAATTCCATGTCAACGCGAAGATGTAAAAAAGGTGTAGGGGTGGTATCCGGCCTGCCCATCAGGTCACAGCCAAAATGTGCCTCCTTGGGAGAGTGGCCTTCTCACTGGGGGGGGTGGGGAGCCTTGGAAACCACACTCCCTCCCTCTGCCTTTCCCCCTCTGAGAGCTGGCAGAGCCCGGCCATGTTTCCACCCACCTTGGATTCACTGGGCTCTGCAGCCACCAACCGGTGATCTCCCTACAGTCTGGATCATTGCATGTGGCTATGTTGAGTCCGAAGAGAGACTTCTGGACCAGTATTGGATTCATAGACTTGAGCTGGACTTGGCTGGGATGCATTCTTGCTATATAATTGTATAATCTTGATATACAATTCTTTCTTAGCCATCGATGCATGTCACTGGATTTGTTTCTCTAGTCAACCCGGCCCAACACACAGACCTGGCTCAGAGCCTTTGCCTTGGAGGAAAAGCTGGCCAAAGATGGAGCCTAATTGCTTCCCAAGGGAATTGACTTTGTTTGCAACAAAGCTGGAGAAATTCAAGGCCAAGAATGCTTTAAAAAATTGGGGAAGTCGTGCGTAAAAGCAATTGGGAAAGATTTCAACCTTCAAAGAAGATACAGATGGAACTGTAGCCAGCTGGTTTGCAAGAGAGACTTGTGGGTCAGCTCTCCGAGGGTCAGAACAAATATCAAACAGCGAGCTTGGGAATTATTCCCACAAAGCAGCCTCTATCTTCGTTTTTGTTGTTAGCTGCCATCCAATCAGTTCCTGTTGCCAGCGACCTTTCAACAAACAGAGGGAAACATGGCCTGGTCCCGTGCTGTCTAGACGCAAGTAAATTGTTGAATACAGTAAAGCAATTGGCTGGGAACTAGTCCAAAGAGTGGTGTGGTCAAGGAAACCTACCTGGAGAGCTCTGCCCATGGCTTTATCATCCTACGTGGCTGCGGGAACGCCCCAAACTGTGCCTCCCTAAAAAGTCACACCACTCTGGGGGTTGGAGGGTAACAAACGTCATTCAATTAAACCAGGCAGTCATGAAACAAATGAACACGCAAACAATGAGAGAGAAGGCTGGAGTGAGGAGGCCGGTCCCTAGAGTTGCTACCATGTATTATCAGCAAGGTACAGTCCTCAACCAAAAACAGACCAAAAATTCAAAATAGGAAATGGCACAGAAGGTATGACCCAAACGTCGGGAACACCAGCCACCAGAATCTGTCGATGGAAACAACTAGATTTCTTATGGAGCAGGGATTTCAAAATGAGCCGACACATA